ATTTATTTCAGAACCCCCATCCCCTCCCCCATTTCTGATGAAGGGTCTAGGCCCGAAACGTCAGCCTTCCTGCTCCTATGATGCTGCTTGGCCTGCTGTGTTCATCCAGCCCTGCAAGTTGTACATGGTTGCCTCTATTTGAATTGAAAGTTATTTCATGCCCGTTGTCAATATCATTTTAGTTAGCTATGTAGGAGGAGAAATGTTGTTCTTCATATTGTAGTTCAACAATAACCATTGCACAAAAATTAATACATGTTGAACATTTGAAAGTGAATCACTTTTCTGTTTTGGCTGTGATTATGCAGTTAAAAATTGCAGTGTTCCCAATTTAGTTCTCACTGTGGGATGCCATGTAAAGCATCCCTTACGTGAGCTTAACAATAAAGCCCTGTTGTCTGTGCTTCCAAGTGCAATAAGATTTTTATTTTCACATACTATCATTGTTATTTTTGTTGTGTTTTAACTTTTTCCTTTGGATCCCATCCCTGATTGTCCTTGAGCTGAGAGGCTTGCTAGGGCATTTCAGGGACTAGTTAACAGTCAACTGCATTGTTGTGAATTGTGTCTTGCATGTAGGCCAGACCAGGTAATGATGGCAGACTTCCTTTCTTAAAAAGAACCTCATGGACTTTATCACAACAATAAACTCTGTAATGGAGCTTATGAAGCTGTCTTTCAATTTCAGTTTTTTACTTGAACTGGTGTTCTGCCAGCTGGACCAAGTGGAATTTGAACCCATTTCCTAAAGCTTTCTCTGACTGTCGAGATTATTACTCCAGTAATTTTGCCTCTATGCCATCATCTATGATCAAAAACTGGGATGAGTTGCCATCTGCTCATTTCACGTAGAACACTTGCAGTTAGCAGAAAGAGAATCTTGCATTACATCAGTTAGATTCGGACTTTGGCACCACACTTCAAAGTGCAGTCTCCAGCCCTTTAGTTCTAATTTTGCATTGTTTGATCAAGCTTTGCTTATGAAAAGTGATTCAAGGCAGCAAAGAAGGAAAGAAAAACGAAGAGTAGTAGTAGTACTACTGTCTAAGGATTATATAAACTGCTCATTAGCAATTGGTCTATGAACCTACTCACCCAAAGGTTTTTTTATCCCAAAATGTTTAAGGGTGCTTTGCCATTAATTACATTTACTTATGTACTATTCAGGTCAGTGCTACAGCTGCACAGCTGGCACTGCTTCGACAGCAGGAAGAGCTAGAAAAAAAAGCTGCTGAACTAGACCGCAAAGAGCAAGAACTGAAGAACGAAAATTATACTTGTAAGAATGTGGGGGCGGTTGTGTGCGAGGATGATGGGTATGCGTTAGGTGGGGTGGTAGATGGTTGTCTGGGGTGGCTCTGCAGGAAGAGGGAGGAGTGCACGAGAGGGAGAGAGTAGTGTGGATGTGGAGTTTGTGCAGGAGATAGGATGTGGAATGGGTTTTGCGGGAAGATGGCATGGGGTGAGGGGATTGTGTAGGAGGATGTAGGGCTGGGAGGGGAGGGTAAAAGATTATGTAGGTGGGGTGGCGGGGTTGTTTGAGCCTGCGGAAAGCGTTGGATTATGTGCATGGGGGTGATGTTGCATGATGGGGAGAGGATGAGTCTAAGTCAACTAATGACACACCTATCTCCCCAACTGCCTGTGCTCTTTAAATGTAGTGACAAGACTAAAACTGCTCATTTCCAGAAGTGGTTTTGTAGTTGCAATACCTCCATTGTGTTGCAAGACTAATACTACGTTTGGCCGTCTAATTATTGAGACAAGACCAAAGTAACTTTGAGCTCATTTTCAAAAGTGGTTTCGCAGTTGCAATACCTCTACTGTGTTGCAAGCCTATTAATACTATATTTGGACCTCTTAAAGAAGAATTGTTGTATTAAGTTAATATAATGAAATAGAATGCCATAGCAAGTTGAAATCTGCCTAACATATCCGTCCTTAAGTGGCATTAATAATAATAATTTGTAAAGCTCATCAGATGAAGGTTGTGTTTCTTGTGTTTCTCTTTTTAAACATTCAGGATCTCCATGTCTTTAAAATACACTTCACCTTTAAGCTTAATGTTTGAAAACAAAATTTCTTCATTCCTCCATACAGCAAAACGAAATAACTGGCCTCCTTTTCCTTCGTTCTGCCCCATCAAACCATGCTTCTACCAGGACTTTGCAGCAGAGATCCCATCAGGCTTTCAGAGGACAGTAAAAATGCTGTACTACTTGTGGATGTGTAAGTTGCAACCAGTGTTTCCTGCCTTTTTATTTCAACCCATTACTGCAGCATTTTTGTACAACTTCACGATTGTGCATTTTAGAGAGAACATTAGGAATTATTGGTATAAGCTAATAGTGAGCTGCAACTTAATTAGAAGTCCTTATGTCTCAGATGGTAAAAGACAAACGAGTCAATTATACAGATGGAGGGTGTTGGGTTGCATTGTTGGTGTGCATTAAGCTAGTCACTCTAGCCTCAACTCAACGATATAATTTGGTCAAATTGTGTACTGTTTGAGGAAGACTTTACAGAAATTCAACTGGAGATGTTTTTAAAATTGAGACTTCAAAGTTAAGGTTTGAGTGATTTATATCAAGTTAACTGTCCTCGGGCAAGTCATTGAAATCTTACTACTTTTTCTTCCAACAGTCCATACCGTCACACTGTTCTTGAACCTCCTCGCTTGCCTGGCTGAGTTTATTACTGAAGCAAAATTTGGAGTAGACTTTGGCTTGGCAATCTTATGGTTTTTACTCTTCACACCTTGTGCCTTCCTGTGTTGGTATCGGCCAATTTACAAGGCTTTCAGGTAAAATGTCCTCCAGATTAGAGCTGATTTTCTTTTCACTTTGCCATTCACCTCACTGAAAAGGGGTCTGTATCAGAAAGCCTAATGTTTTGGTTTGTTTGCTCTGTTTATGTAATCCTGTTGTAATATGCAAAATAATGCATCTGCAAAATGCCATATGAGGCAGGGGTTTGACTTCCTGTGACATTGCAAACCGAATGTAGTCCTGGGTGAAACCAATTTGGAGGATGGGAGACCACTGGATCTGTGCACAAATGTGTGTAAAGGACAATTGAGCTAAAGTATGAAAATGTGAGCACATAGCATTTTTAATATAGGTAAATACAAAGCCATCACTCCAAGTGTGTAGTAATAATCTGACATGCTAAATTATTGTTGGGCCTTTGGCTTAACTTCAGCTAAGCATCCTCTTGCTAGCTATATCCAAAAGAGGAAGCGTCTGAGGAAAGTCAAATTGGAGCTCCTGTTCATGTTTTAACTTCATTGACAGGATGTGAGTGTCGCAAGCTAGGTCAGCATCCCTAACTGCACCTGAAGATACTGTTGAGCTGACTTCTTGAATTGTTCCTGTTGATAGGAAATAGGAACACCTGGAGTCTTGGTGGGTGGGGAATGTTCTGTTGCTCAGGCTTTATAGGATCCAACTTCTCTGCTCTTCACTTGTAGAATGATGTAGCCTGTTTTTAAGAAAATGATGATTTAAAGTCTAAAACTGCATTAGTCAGTAATGCTAGAAATTGAACTGGGTATATAAACATCCTAATTGATCAAATTATGTACAAGGCACAGAACAAAAAGACCATTTGGTCCAACTGTGTTTGAGCACCCTCCCACCCTATTTCATCTAACTGTAATAGTATATCCTTCTATTCCTTTCTCCCTCTCGTACTTAGAAACTTCCTCTTAAGTCTATTTGATTTGCCTGAACTACTCGATGTGGTAGCAAATTCCACATTCTACTTGATCTCTAGGTGAAAAATTTTTTCTGAATTCTTTATTGTATGCATAATTGCCCAGATTACAACTTTGCCCTCTAGTTCTGGATTCTAGCATAAGTGATGACATCTTCTGTAAGGATTTATAATGGTCACACCACACCCTAATTGAGAAAAGCCCAAGCCTTTCAGTCTTTCTGGATTGTTACAGTTTCTTTTCTGGTAGTGACCTTTTGTAATTATTTTTGGATCAGTTCTCCTACATGTTTATCACTTCTCAACGTTTACTTGACTGCTTTCAGGGATGTAAAAATTGCAACTTAAAAATTGTGAGAGACTAGTATAAGAATAGAAGAGAAAATCTTTGTCTTGAGATTGAGACATAAACTTTAAGTCCAACTTAAGAGGTGAAGGCCAGATGAAATATAGATAACTATGACAACTTGAATCAAATCTTGAAATCTGAGATGGAATTAAACTGCAGCATTAATATTTGTGGAAGTATTAATGGCTCTTTCAACGACACCTTCCAAATCTGCAGCCCACTTAGTAGAACGAGGGCTGTAGATGCAAGGAGCACAACACCTCCAAGTTGCTCCTCCAAGCCACTTCTTCATCCTGACTTGGAACTGTATTGCTATTCTTTATGTTGCTGGGTCCTAATCCTGAAACACCATCCCTAATAGAACTGTGGGTCTATCTACACCAAATACGCTGCAGTGGTTCAAGAAGGCAGCTCACTAACACCTTGGGGGGCCATTAGGGATGGGTGCTATGACAATGCCAAAGCTAGAGGAGGTTATTTTGTCCTGGTCTCTTTTGAGAGAAATTGAATAAGACATAACAAGCTAGCTGGTTAAGACAAATTGAGTAAACAGCTTGGGAGGCCTTTTGGTTTTTCGTAAACAGCTTGAATGGGTGTGGCCAACTTTCTAATTAGATTTCTGGGTAGCATCAGAAGCTGTTGGGGTCTCAACAGAGTTAGAAGCTTAGTGAATGGCTCCTGGCTGCTACTGTCTCTGAATTTTCTCTGTCTTCTTCCTCCTGGATGGGAGAACTGCATGTGAGAATCTGTCTGAACTGTCCTCCTTTGCCAAGGGGTGTGTTAATGGGATATTACTATATTGGCATAGTTAATTAGTAATAGTTACTATATCTGTTAGGTTTTCCTGTAGAGTTATTTTAAATTCCTCTTTCTTTGTGTGTTAACTACAGTGTTTAAATAAATTTGTTTTGCTTAACGTAGAGTAGTTTTACCAGTCACATTTGCATCTGGAACACAGCACTTTACATTTGCCTTGAAAATAAGAAAATGTTACGGTCTGGGCTACCTTCTTAAAATATTTTGAGGGGATCTGGTCTGGTCCATAACAGCATGAAATGTTGGTCCATGTGCATGTGAATTGATATTTCAAAAAATTTATAATACTGGTGTTACAGCAAATTATTAACATCTGCCAAAGGTGATTTATTTCACGTAACCGAATCGGAGGGGATGGAGATTGATTTTAGAATTGTTTGTAACAAGAAAATCGATGGCAAGATGCTAATGTTCGAATGAACTGTGGGAATAGTTAATTGTGTCACAAGAACTTTTTTTATATAAAGATTAATTAATGTTTTTTAAACTTGTTTTTCAGGTCCGACAGTTCATTCAACTTCTTTTTCTTCTTCTTTGTGTTCTTCTGTCAAATTGTTCTTTATGTCATTCAGGCAGTCGGCATTCCCAATTGGGGTGTCAGGTAAGTATCTATTTTGGTGCTGAGTGAAAGAAATATAATTCTTCGGTGTGAGTTTTGTCTTCTGTGAGCTGTCTGTGGCTTTCTGCATATTCTCTGTACCCTTTCTTCAACAGATTCCAGTAGTGTGTATAGACAGTTGATAAGACACATGTCCTGCTGACTATTCTAGCCACTGGAGAGGCATGTATTTCTTCTACTGACCATTCTTTCCCCCTCATGCTTGCAGTTGTTGTGTTCTTAAACCTCATCAGTGTGCCTTTTCTTTAAGGTCGTCTAAGCTCGGGCATCCCAAAACAAGTTTGTCTTTGATCCCTTTGTGACACCCACTTGTAACATTTTCATGGTTGCTGTACTGCTTAGATTCTTTGTAGCTCTCAAAACAGGCTCTTCTGTATTGGCACAAGATGTATGTTCCTGCAATTGAATTGCATGTACTCTTGGCAGTGCAGATCTTTCCTTGCATTGTCTGGTTAAATTGATTTAATATGAAGTACTTATCAAAAGCAGCCTAGTCTTGATAACTCACCCAGTTTCTCTTTATACGAAGAACCAAATTGAATTACTGTGCTATTTGAATTGGATTTGGGAAATAAAATGGTCACATTCAAAAGTAGCTCAAGAATTTAAGTCATCTTGTAATTCAATCTAACTAATTTTGAGTTAAGGAGTAGACTTTGCAGAGAGCATTTTATGGTTTTGCATTATTCTCCCTCACCTTATCCTAACTTTGCACTGCAAACTAGAAACTTCAGCAGGACCAGATTGATTGATTGTGTTCCTGAAATAAGACAGTTCTAATCCAGATTGAGTTCATTGAACCAAAACCAACTCAATGAAGAATGCAAGTGGAAATGCCAGAGGCAGCATACTAAAACATGAGGTGTCAACCTGATGAAGCTACAGATCAGGACTACTTGTGCCAAACTGTTTTTAGTAGCAGGTGATAGCACTGAGTGAGTCTACAATCAGCTTCAGTTTGCCATGCAGTACTGCCACATTACCATTAATAATGGTAGACAACTGAAGAATCCACTGGAGGAGGTTGGTCCACAAATATCACCATCCTCAATGGGGTATTCCTGTGTGTCAATGCAAAAGATAAGGTTGGGGCATTTACTGCAACAGTCTTCAGCCAGAAGCTGAGGGAATGATTAATTTTGTGTTCCACTGAAGGTCCCAAGCATCACTGCCAGTCTTCAGCCAATTCAATTCACTCCACATGATATCAAGAAATGGCTGGTGGAAGCACTGTACTGCTGCAGTTGTGGGATCATTCAAGTATCTCTTCGGACTGACTGCCAATCTAGGAGGTGCAAGGCTGGGAGAGGCAACTTGATCAATAAGCGGTGACCCCATCACTTGCAAAAGCAGTTCAGACCCTACCCTGAGGAGGTATTTCTGGTAGCCCCAAACTCAGAAATTAGTCTGAGATTTGTTGTATTGTGATTTGTATTCTCAATGACTTCAAATTCCAGATGAGACTGAACTTTAACTTCCTTACAGTGGTTGCTGAGTTGGCAAAAAAAATTGCTGTGTTATAGGGTCTTTAAATGTGACTATCACTCTATAAAAACTTAAGTCTTTAAGATTAAGTAAGAAGGCTGCCCCAGAAGGGGGAGCAGATGCAACTGGACTGAGTTCTGTTTAGAGCCAATGTGAAATGTGTGACTATGCAGTCCTGACACGAAGAAACAAATTGCTGATCTAGTTCAGTGAGCATGGGAGCCTGCAGTAGTGCACAGATTCCCATGCTGACTTAGTGTTGTGTTTTGAGTTTTGAAATTTCCATCATGCAGTGAGGAATAATGGTATGAGAAAGTGTAATCTGCGTCTAACAGTATCTGAATGGTACCACAAGTGAAGGCAAAAATGTTCAAGACGATATTCCCCACACTTATAAATCTGCTCAATTGAAATCCTTCTCAACCAGGATATTTTTTAATTGCAAGAGGAGAACAGATTATTTGAAGGACCAGCAATGGGAAATTAACTGGCAGTGCCTAATCATTCAAGAAGCAAAGGTTCTTGAAGAAAGACCTGATCAAAAGCAGGTGTATTGACAATAAGGCAGTCAGTGCCAAGCTCCAAGAGGAGAAACCCTGTTCTGGTCAGGGTGATCTAGTGCTGCCTTGTAATAGGGCCCATTGGGTGAATTAGCGCACGTAATATTTTAGTTTAGTGAGAGCTTGTGTTGTAAACCATTAATCTGTACCAAATTGATTTGTGTTCTCTGTTTTATCTATTATGTCATAATAGCTTACAAATTGCACAGAACAACATTTAACTTAATGTTAGCGCCGACTGTTCTGAGATTAACTCTGCCCGTGTGTAAGATACAGAAATGCGATCCAGAGCGTGAGTTTCATTGGGCTGTCAGGACTGACAGTCACTGTATTTTTTAACAAAAAAAATGCACAGCAGGGAGAAGTAACCTGAGTAAAATGTGGTGATTAGATTGCTGAAGGGAGCAGCTGATGCACTGAATCTGAGGAGAGCTATCTCTGGCGGACTCAAATTCAGAATGTCCAGTAACCATGAATCTGTCATCCTCTCTGACTGTGACCTATGCACTTAGCAAAAAGAGACTTGCAGCTTGACCTGCTTTTTATAAGATTTCAATAGTTTTCCCCATACTTCTCTCACTGGCTTATTTTGTTTTTATAAACGTGGCATGATCTGCAGTTTGTTTTCTCGCCTATCAGAAAGGTTTGGCTGTTGCCGTAAGTCATCCTTTTGGTTTCTGTAAAATGATGCTAACTTGCCACTAGCTTAACCCATTAATATGTCTCTTTTCAGTGGTTGGATTGCAGCACTTAGTTGGACAAAAACAAATCTTGCTGTGGCAGTGGTCATGATGGTAGTAGCAGTATTCTTCACAGTGTGTGCAGTCTTGTCTTTGTTGCTGGTACAAAGGGTAAGAATGCCTAAGTCTATCTTCGTAGCATTGCTTGCCCTCCCTCCTGACCTCTGCTCATCTTCCAGTGAAACCTTTAGCCAAGCCCTTGGTTATCTGTAGATTTGAACATTCCACCGCTGTGCTGGCTGTCCATCTTTCACCCTCCATTAAACGTCAGATCATCCAAACCCTGCTGTTTGTGTGGTGATCTCACTCATCCAGCTTTTGCTGATCTACATTGATTCCTGATCCACGTAATGCCTTAACTTTTTTTACATTTAATCCTATTGTTTAAATACTTCTGTGATCTTGTCCCTCAGGCGGCACAATGGTTAGCACTGCTGCCTCACAGCGCCAGGCACCCGGCTTTGATTCCAACCTTGGGTAACTGTGTGTGTGGAGTTTTTATGCTCTCTCCATATCTGTGGGTTTCCACTGATGCTCTTTCCTCTCAGTACAAAAAAATGTGCAGGTTAAGTGGGTTAGATGTGGTAAATACAGGGTCTAGACCCGAAACATCAGCTTTCCTGCTCCTCTGCTGCTTGGCCTTCATCCAGCTCTACACCTTGTTATCTCGTAAACGCACCATGCCGGGTTCACAGGAATAGTCTGGGTGGGAAGCTCTTCGAAGGGTCGGTGCAGACACTATGGGCTGCGTGGCCTATTTCTGCACTGTAGGGCTTCTATGATTCTATGACCCTTTACGGTTCAAATGGGTTTGAGTCCATGTACATAAGTCATTAAAATGTAGTGGTCAGGCATAGAATATAATCAAAAGACTACTGAAATGTCAGCCTTTGCATCCCTTGGGCCAGGATAAAAGGGAGAAGGGAAAGCAGGTGGGAGGGGTGTGGTGTTTGCCACAGCAATAGCATGGTTAAACCACATCACTATTTGAGTGTACTATATTAACCACCACAGCGTTTACAAGATACATTGGCTTTGGACACATATTGCACTAAATGTTAACAAGATGCCAAAGATTCCCTGGAATACATTCAATGTAATATACAGTTAAGACTTGATTTGATTAAGATTTTGAGTTCTGCAAGGAATTTATAGGCTAGATAGAAAGTGGTAGAAACTGGTGGACGAGTCCATGACACACACAAGCCCTGTTAAATTGGGTGTCAAGCCGTTCAGGACAAAATTGGGCAAGACATCTACGAAAACTGGGAAAAGCGTGAAACTCTGTTACGAGAAGCGGTGAATGTTCATTGAATCAATTTTAATTCTCATTGTTTTGTTAATTGTTAAGGGATGTGGGAATTGGCATGTCACTCTGACCTTTTTTTGAAATTGGAGAACGGAATTGAAGAGCTAATGTTCCCATGTTCCCCTGTTCTGTTCCAGTCTTAAGCTCTGCCTTCACTGGCCAGGAGTTATTTTCCACTTCTTTCCCACCCAACTTCTCCACCAATGATTTCCTCCATAAGACCCATTTCCTGATGAACCTTTCGCTCACTAGCTGGCAGAATTTTTGTGTTAACTCCACATCCATTTTTACCTTCTGATGTTTTCCCACATGAGAAGCCACAATACAAGTTCAAGAAATAGAGATAAGATTGAACAAATCAGAATGAAGTCTTTGTTTTAAAGATTTTTTTCTCTCCCTTTTTTTTGTCTAGGTACATTCGATATTCCGCAGCACAGGAGCCAGTTTTCAGAGAGCACAAGAAGAATTTTCCCACGGGGTCTTCTCTAATACAACAGTGCGCAATGCTGCAGCTACTGCTGCATCAGCTGCTGCACAAAGCACCTTGCAAGGAAACTAAATACTGGAGATTACTGTTTTCAAAAGTTATCCTCTTTGTACGTTCTTTATAAAGATGCACTTTCATTGGACAAAATGTGTATTTTGTGTGTCTACCTATTAAAGGGGAAGGATATTTTAGGCTTTAATCAAAGGGTTTCAAACAGATGTTTGTTTGTTTGTTTGATAATATCACTGCATTTTCTACTGTAGAAAACCAGCTGCTCAACAGTTCGTATTTTTCTTGATTATGAAGAATCATTGGTCAGTGTGTTGGTTTATTTGGGGAGGTACGTTTACAGAAGTGTAAAACATCAAGCTAACTTTTTTGAAGTCTTCATATTTTAAGTGTCTTCAGTAAAAAGCACTGGATTTTACTAGCACCTGAAGTATTGGTCAACACTATGACATTGTTTCTATGCCACAGCTGGTCATGTTGTGCCACAGAATAACACATCTGTCCTGTTGATTAGATTTTGGTATGATGGGCTGGACTTTGCATTTCTTCCTTTTCATTTAAATGAAATCACATTTGGGCGAAGGTGCATCACAGAAACCTACAGCATCATGACAATACTGTGAATTCATCGGTAAAAGCTTTGAGCATGTAGCTTGAGCTTGACTCTCGTTAATCATTTTCTTAATCATAAATTCTTGAATGTTGGTCTGTGTAAAAGCAATTGGGTACTTAAATGTAGAATCTTCTGGAAACATTCAGCATACCAGCAGCATCTATGGAGAGACGAATATTAATGCTTTAGGCATAATAGGAGGAGGCAGAAACATGCATGCAGTTTTTTGCTCCTTCCATTCGTTATATACCTATTTCAAATGTTGTTCACTTGTAATTCTGTTTCTGACCAAGTGTCCACAAACCTGATGCATCTTCCTATTGATTGAAATAGTCAATTCTATGACAAACATCTGTTTGTTTCACAGGTGCTGTTTTATTTTCCTACATTTGCATTGTGTTTTAAAAAAAATTATGGTTATTTAAGGCTGTTTTAGGCAGAAATAGTATTCCTTCATCAAAGCAATTACTTTCATGTCTGCTCTGGGACATTTAATTTTTTTTAAGAACCATCTCAACCCACCCCCATCTTTTTAAATGATCCCCAAAGTGTTTGGGGGATGTAAGAGAGGAGCAGGTGTTGGCTGTAGGTTTCCTGTGGAGTTAATTGATCAGATCTAATCACTGTTAATCATGTGGATTGTTAACATAAAGGCAAATACTGTGGATGCTTGAAATGAGGGCAGAAATATGCCAGAAATATTCAAAGTGGGCAGCATTGGTGGAGGAAGACAATGTTTCAGGCTAAGGAACCTGTTAACTAATTCTTCCTGATCTCATTCAGAGCAAACAAATATGTTTTCCTTTCAACTCATTTTAAATTTTAAATGGTTAAACTTTAGTCATTGGGGTCTCTTTTAAATTTTTGTAAACCCTTTGTCTCTTTAAACTGAGATACCCTCTCCAAAACTTTGGATTTGTTTTCTTGTGTTTTGGACTACTGTTGTGAAATGGGTTTTCTCTTTTTTTGAAAAGACTGCATATAACACCAGCTCCATACTGGGATTCTGATGAAGGAATTATTTTTGGTTTATACTTGCCAAAAACTAGATAATGTAGAAACTTTATTTCAGTAACTTTGCCCTTTCAAAACAAAAGCAACTTGACGTTCTTACGTAAACAGGATTTCCATGGAATTGTTAAAATATCACCGTGATTGAACTTCCTCTGCCTTATTTCTTGCCCTTCTAGATAACTGGATAAGCTATGCCCATAGGAAACCAGAAGTGTATGAATGTTAGTTGATGCTTGGATTTATTTTCCTCTGTCTCGTCGGTAAGTTAGATGCTCTCTAGCACTGTTGCTGCAGACATTTTCCAGATGTTGTCTTAACAAGTACTCCCATGATTGAGTTTTTCCTCAGACCTCTCTCATTGGTAATTACACTTTCGGATCCTTGAGCTTAGAGTGGAACCATTTTTGTGCTATTAGCGTAATTTCCGCTGAGGTGTTAAAATACACAAGACTGTAGCTATAAAATTTGTTTGAATTATTCATGAAGATCTTTCCTTTTCCCTTCGGTTTAGTTTGGCATGTAACAAGTGCTGGACCACCAACAAATTTTGGGTACTTGAGCTTAGGACAAAACTATACAACAGAATGACTTTAGTGTCAGTTTAGGGATTGTCTTTTAGCTTCAGAGCTCTTGGTTTACAGGACTTAATAATTTGAGTATTTTTGAATCACCAAGGTGAGCTGATGTAATATTTTTGATTTCACAAATGTAAATGGGATGGTCATTTGCTTGAACAAACTTTCCAATGGAATGAATGGTGTTAGCTTTTCATTGTCTTAATGAATAATTCCACGCAAATGCCCTTTTAAAACATTTGTGCTCAAATAAAGGTATTTAACTTGATTCCAATAGTTCTTTGACTCTTTAGACCAAGTAAAAATGTTTCCTACAAGGCAATTTTGTTTTTAATATAAATCCTGATGCATCATTCTATTGAATGAAATTGAGTAAAATGTTCAATTCCATGAATGGAATGGACTGGCCTGCAAAGTATGAATTTCGTTAGCTTGGACCTCCTGAGAGAAGAGTCTCAATGTTTGATCTGAGCTCCAAGGATTTGAATGACTGTATCCTCCATTCTGTAATTCCATGCATATAGATCCTTTAGAACTGAATCACATGACATCCAGCTCTCCTTCACTGATCACGCCTGGAATGTGCTATAGATTTGGATCTTTGGGGGGCCAATTAGGAATTCTTGATCAGACTCTTAGCATCCACAGTACCTACTCTGAAGCTGTGTACTGCCAGTAGTACTCTGTAGGTTATGATCTAAAAGGGAGGTTTGTTCAACTTGGCTGCTTTTGCTTGAGTTTCATTTTCTATAAGGGACAAGTACATAAGCCAATCCATCCCATTCTCCCTGTGAGGAGTATTGTAATTGGATCAACTACTCCAGGTAACCTGAAGTTAGAACTATAAGCAGTACACCATGATAAGACCCTATGTTAAACTGTTCAATTCTTTCTTCTGATCTGTATTTTGTTCCGAACAAATCAAATGTATAAATCAGAAATAAGTAAATTTGCTGAAAAATAGTTAGGTCAGGTAGCATTTGTAGAAAGGAACAGTTGATGCATGGGGCATGTAGAACTGCACCTCACTGCCAAAACATTGCATGTATTCAAGAGGTGACTAGATACAGCATTTGGGGCGAATAGGCCATTGAGTTGGATGATCAGCCATGATTGTGAAGAATGGCAGAGTATGCTTGAAGGGCCACATGATCCCATTTCCTATCTTCTATGTTTCTATCGCCTTTGGGACCGAACTTTTAAATTCAACAACTTCAGACCATGATCTCAGTCTCCTATCTTGATCACATCCATCTGCCATAGTATCTTGGTCACTCCACAAATATAATTTAACACCTATTTTGCATAAGCACAATTCCTTTGGTGTCATTAGTGCTCCCTTTTGTCAACAACATTGATACCATGATTTTCCCGTTCTGAAGAGACATGGGAGTTGAAAAGTTAACTTTTGGCAGCATCTAAGAGGAGAAAAACAACATGGCTGAGTTTCTCCAGTAGTGTCTTTATTTCTGCATTAACCAGATACGAGTAATGATGGTGATATAGGGGAAATGTTAGTGTTTGGAAATAATGTTAGAGTTAGGAGGGGAATTACTGAACTATGATCAGGAGAACTTACTTCATCAGTCCTAGGCCCTACTAGATAGGAGGTATTGCTGGATCTGGTAATGGGAAACTAAGTGGTTCAAATGGCCAGTTAGCTTAACTTCGGGAGTGGGGAAAATGCTTGAATTCATCATTAAGGAAGAAAATATCAAGACATCTGGATGTAAATTGTTCCATTGGGAGCACCCAGCATGGGTTCATGAAGGGTAGGTCATGTTTAACTAATTTGGTGGAATTCTTTGAGGACATTACTTGCATGATGGACAATGGGGAACCTGTGGATATGGTGTATCTGGATTTCCAAAAGGCATTTGACAAGGTGCCACACCAAAGGCTGCTACATAAGATAAAGTTGCACGGTATTACAGGTAATGTATTGGCATGGATAGAGGATTGGTTGACCAGTAGAAAGCAAAGAGTTAGGGGTAAATGGATGTTTTTCTGGTTGGCGGTCAGGGGCTAGTGGTGTGTCTCGGGGATCAGTGTTGGGACCTCCAATTGATCACAATTTACAAAGATGATTTGGAGTTGGGGACTAAGTGTGGTGTGTCAAAATTTGCAGATGACTCTAAGGTGAGTGGTAGAGCAAGTGTGCAGAAGACACACAGTCTGCAGAGGGCTATAGATAGTCTGAGTGAGTGGGCAAAGGTCTGGCAGATGGGGTACAATGTTGATAAGTGTGAGGTCATCCATTTTTGGTAGGAATAACAGTAAAATGGACTATGTTTTAAATGGTAAAAAATCTGCAGCACGCTGCTGTGCAGAGGGACTTGGGTGTCCTTGTGCATGAATTGCTAAAAGTAGGATTGCAGGTGCAGCAGGTGATTAAAAAGGCAGAAGGAATTTTGTCTGCCATTGCTAGAGGGATGGAGTTTAAAAACAGGGAGACTATGCTTCAGCTGTATAGGGTCCTGCTGAGGCCACACCTGGAGTACTGTGTGCAATTTTGGTCTCCTTACTTGAGAAGGGATATACTAGCATTGGAGGGGGTGCAGAGAAGATTCACTCAGTTGATTCCAGAGTTGAGAGGGTTGGATTATGAGGAGAGACTGAGTAGACTGGGATTATACTCATTGGAATTCACAAGAATGAGGAGAGATCTTATGGAAACATAAGATTATGAAGGGAAACAAAGGTTGTTTCCGCTAGCAGGTGAAACTAGGACTAAAGGGCATCGCCTCAAAATAAAGGGAAGCAGATGTAGGACTGAGGTCAGGAGGAACTTCTTCACACAAAGGGTTGTGAATCTGTGGAATTCCCTGCCCAGTGAAGCGGTTGAAGCTACCTCCCTATTTTTAAGGCAAGGCTAGATAAATTTTTGAACAGTAAAGGAATTAAGGGTTATGGTGAGTGGGCGGGTAAGTGGAGCTGAGTCTCAAAGATCAGCCATGATCTTATTAAATGGTGGGGCAGGCTCGAGGGGCCAAATGGCCTACTCCTGCTCCTAGTTCTTATGTTCTTGTGTTCTTATGTTCTCAAGTGTTTGTAGGGCACCACCTGGGTCAGAGTCACCATCGTATCATTAGCAATGGAGGAAATACTGGGAAGAATTTAGCATACAATTTTAAATTGTAAGAGGCTACCTTCAATATAAGGATCTGACAGGATAAAGTGGAACTAGTGGAGTAACATAAATCTATAATGGAACAATGGGTGATCTTTGAGGAAGAGATGCATCAGGAACTGTCTAGGGATTCGAGCAAGAGGGGTGAAATGTAAATAAAAGGCTAATGAGATCACAAAAAGGGGGCATGTTGCTTATCAAGTAGATTCTTAGTGAGAACCAGGTCAAATGCAATAGGCTGAGGGGTGGGTGAAGAAGAAATTAAGATTGTCAAGGTGAGAGTAAGAGAATAGAATGGCAGTCAACATAAATGCAAGTAAAATTATTCTAACCAGTAACTCAAAAGTAAACAAGCAGTTTAAAAAACGTGGAGTAGGTTCAAAGAGTGAAATGGATATTTTCTAATTGACTGCTGAGAGTTGTTATTACCCACCTTTTGGATCAGGTGGGGCATATACCTTGGCCTCCTGGATCAATAGTAGGAACACGACAACACCACATGTGGACACGACAACAAGGCTAGAATCTATTGTGAGCTATTTTTGATGTTAAGAGTGAGGATTCTGACAAAAGATTTGTAGAAGTAGAGACAATGGATGCAATGGAAATAGAATTGAAACTGGGGAGATCCTGCAAAGACTGACTATGGTTACAGAAGATTGGTTATTAAGTCTGGAAGATATACATCCAAGGTTGCTAAAGAAAGTGGAGGGGAGATGTCAGAAGGGCTTGTCGTCTTTTAATCTTCCTCAGACATTGGGGAAATACCCCTGATTGGAGAATGGGAAACGTAACATTCTCATTCAGAAAAAGGCACTGGGATATTCCCAGCAGCTTCAGGCTACATAGTTCAGAGTTGTTGATTAGCTCAGTTGGCTGGATGGCTGGTTTTTGATGCCAACAGTGGGTTCAATTCCTATGTTGACTGAGATTACCATGAAGGGCTGTCCTCCACTTTTGAGTGGTGTGCTGACCCTCAGATAAACCATTGCTAGTCATCTAATGAGACCGCTGCCCTGTGGTTGTTACAGGACTATGGCAGCTTTACCTTACTCTGTTTAATCGTTGGCAGGGTAGGTATTTGGAACCTGTTGTCAGGAGATGGGGTAGGATGAGTGGAGAGAGACAGAGTGCAAACCAAGTGCTAGAGAATCTCTGATTTGGCAATATCAATGTCACTTGGAGATACCAAGAACTGCAGATGCTGGAGTCAGAGTCAATACAGTGTGCAGCTGGAGGAATACAGCAGGTCAGACAGCACCAGAGGAGCAGGAGAGTCAACGTTTCAGGTTGGGACCCTTCTGAAACGTAGACTGTCTTGCTCCTCTGATGCTGTCTGACCTGCTGTGCTCCTCCAGCTCCACGCTCTATTGAGTCTGGAATTTATGATTGGAGACATTAGGCACAAAAGCAGGGAACTTATGCCAAATGTTTATAAAATTCTGCAAGGTCCCCTAACCGGAGGACTACCTCTGGTCTGCACACTTCAGTAAGGAATGTGAAGGTCCTTGAAAAGGTATGGAGAAAATTTACCAGAGAAGTTCCAAGGATTTAGAGGGGTGGGGTAAGGGGCGAGGATATTTGAGTTTTGAGGTTAGTTCAGAGACGTTGGGTGGTTGGAGGGTGTCTGTTCTACTTGGAGCAAAGGTGATTGAAAAAAGTTTTTTAAAACTTCTTCATTCACAGGATGTGGGTGTCGCTGGCTACGTCAGCATTTATTGGTCATCCTTAACTGCTTGGGTAATTAAGTGTTAACCACTTTGTTGTGGATCTGGAGTCACGTGTAGGCCAGACCAGATAAGGATGGTAGCTTCCTTCCCTAAAGGACATTAGTAAACCAGATGGATTTTTCTGACAATTGGTTATGGTTTTGTGGTCATCTTTTAGACTCTTAATTCGATGGGATTCAAACCCTGGTACCCAGAACATTACCTGGGTCTCTGGATTAATAGTCCAACAATAATACCACTAGATCTCGGCCTGTCCTTTTGATAAGAGGTGTATAAGATATTGACAAGCTCTTCCCAAGTGGCTGATGCTACAAGGACTAGAGGACACTAGTTTAAGACTGCAACTAAAAATGCAACAGAATGTCAGGAAGATCTTTGTTCCACTGCAAACTGTCATGACCAGTAACTCCTAGCGCATGGGGATGGTGGAAACAGAAACAGTGCTTTGAAAGAAACTAGATGGACAATTGCAGGATACAAACTTGCAGGATCATGGAATTGAGTGAAGGAAAGGAAACTGACTAAATTACGCCCTGGGGGAGTTCAGTAAGGGTTGAATGGCCTCCTTCTGTACTGTCAATGACTAGTGCACTTAAAATTAAAAAAAAACTGGAGATCTCAAAAGATACAGACACTGCTGGAGAAATTCAGCAGGTCTGGCTGTCTCTGTGAGAAGAAAGCAGAGTTAACTTTTCGAGTTGTTAACCTTTTCGAAACGTTAACTCTGCTTTCTTTTCATAGGTGCTCCAGCAGTTTCTGGTTTCGTTCTACTGAAAAGTAATACTGCCATTTAACATGCTTGTTTACCCAGCACTGATACGTTAAATATTTTAAAATCGATTCGTTGTTTTCAATCTAAGGCGATTTGACTGTGTCACTCCCAATGAGTGACAACTCATCTCCCAAGAAATTGCTTCTTAACAAGAACGAAATTGCTAAGCCAGAAAATGATGCTCTGGTTCAAACCGGTCTATGCCCAATCTCCTCTAATTTTGCTCTCCTCGATTGAACTTGCAAAATATATTACACGTTTACATTGCAAAAAAAACTTACACAACAAACAAAAATTCATGCGTTGCAAGTTCCGGGTTTGTTTTTGCGTTGTAAATTCTGTAGCGAACTTCCTGAATTAAAATTGCACAACACAAATTGAGAAGTGTGTCGTAAAAGAGAAAACGTTTACAAACGGTACCCGTGCATTTGAACAGAATTAAACGCAACATTCTTCAGTATATCAAATGCAGTTGCATGTTTACTGCGAGCAGCGCGACTTTAATCGCAAATATTCCAGCCCCCGGAAGCATTTCATTCTCAGAGAAGGAAGTTGTTGTTGGTGTCGGGGTGACCAGGGTCAGTTTGCAAAGTGAAAGTGGTGGGTGGAGTTTGAGGGTTAACACTGGTTTGAATTTCTCTCTCTTGCCCCCCCCCCCCCCGCCACATCAGTAGTTAGATTTCGGTCGGTCTCGAACCCCCTTGAATGGACCTGGTGGATGGCGTCTGGCTGCGCTCCACCCAAACTGGAGGAGTTCATTCTCACAGAGAAACTGGGCACTGGCACCTATGCTACTGTGTACAAAGCTTACAGGAAGGTGAGCAGTTCTAACCAGGCAGGGGCTTTGTGCAATGACACCTGTATCACAGGTGAGAAACTGGTCAGGGCTCTTGTGCTGAAGGTGAGAGATTGGCAGGGACGTCTCTGTGTGTGTAACCTAAAGATATTTGTGCTAGAGATGAGACATTGGTAGGGGCACCTTTATAAATAGCAGCAGTGCCAGGAGTGAGTGTGTTTATGGTATCAGTGCCACAGGTGAGAGACTGGTAGGAGCACCCGTGTGACTTAATTTATTTCCATTTATTTGTCTCTGTTTGGTGTCTGTCTAGTACTTTTAAACTTACTTCTCATCTGGTCCGTTACTGGGATGGAACTGGGCATGCAGGATCTCACTACCTGCTTAGGATATGAAAGACCCCCCACAGTGTTTTGTTTAGAAAAATTGGAAGGTCTCCTGATCAACCCTGGCCTAGCACCACCAAAACATAGAACATAGAACATAGAATGGTACAGCACATTACAGGCCCTTCGTCCCACAATGTTGTGCTGACCTATTATCCTACTCTAACTTGATCATGTTTTCATCTTGTTCACGAGCCATGGGTGTATATTGACAGAACAACTCGTTCTTTGTCTGTGAAGTAATTTGGGCAATCCTGAGGATGTGAAAAGTGTTATGTGAATGCAGGGTCTTTTGTGTCTTGCTTGTCCTAATGGTCTGAAGTAAAATGAAGTTCTGAACCGCATCTATTTCATCTGTGTTGTTTAAAACTTTAGCTTGACCTTAGCACCTCTTTAAACAGTCCAGCCTGACGATGGTGTCACACTATGAATGGCCCTGTCTGTTTCAATCAAATACAGGCTGAAGTATAAATAAACTTGGTATCTTCAGCATTGTACAGTTCTGCTTTGAAGTTGGTAATATAGTCATACAGCATGGAAATAGACCTTCGGGTCCAATCAGTCCATGCCAACTATAATCCCAAACTAAACTAGTCCCACCTGCCTGCACTTGGCCCACATCCCTCCAAACATTTCTTATTACATGCTTAACTGAGTATCTTTTAAATGTTGTAACCATACCTGTATTCACCATTTCCTTTGGAAGTTCATTCCACAACAAACCACTCTCTGTAAAAGAAAAAAATTGCCCCTCATGTCTTTTTTAAAAATCTTTCTCCTCTTACCTTAAAAATACACCCCCAGTCTTGAAATTCCCCACCCTAGGGAAAAGAAACCTGCTATTTACCTTATCTATTACCTCCCATGATTTTATAAAACTCTATAAGGTTACCCTTCAACCTCCTAAGCTCCAGTGAAAAAGCATCCCAGCCTCTCCTTATAACTCAAACCTTCCATTCCCAGCAACATCCTGGTAAATCTTTTCTGAACTCCCCCTCCAGGTTAACAATATCCGTCCTATAACAGGGCGACCAGAACTGGACACAGTGTACAACCTCAATTTGCCACCCCAATTCCTATATTAAAAGGCCTGAGCATTTGGCATTTTTGCAAGCATGCCAAGAACCACCCTGTCTACATGTGATGTTAACTTCAAAGAATTATGTACCTGGATCCCTGGATCTCTCTGTTCTACAACACTACCCAAGGCCCTACTTTTAATTGTATAATAGTTTTAATTATATTGGTGTTAGCTGAGAAAACAGAACAGAATGTTTTGCATTCACCTAGAACCCCATGGTGTCCCAAACAACATTGTAGTGAAGTATTTATGACATTGTTGTAACCAACAGAGCAGCAATTTACACAAAGCAAGGCTCCACAGACAGCAGAGAAATATCACCTTAATGATCTGTTTTTCTGTGATTTGGTCAAGTGATGATGAATATTGACCATGACACCAGGGAACGATTTGTCCTGCCCTTGACATAGTCTCGTGGGACCTTTTACAGGTACTTGGGAGACTAAACAGGACCTTGGTTTGACATCTCAAATGAAAACAGGCATTGCTGCAATGCTGCTGCCTGGAAGAACAACATCTCATTTTCCTCTTGGGGACCCTGCAGCCCTCCAGACTCAATACCGAGTTCAAGAACTCTCCCGTGTTCAAGCCCCCAGTCCCACACCAGGCCTTGTTATCACATAACCTGCCATTACACACTACCTATTGTTAGCCACTAACAGTCTCCATTAACAGCTATTCACCCTCCTAGCCAGATTGTTATCCACTCCTTTGTCTGTCGAACTGCTCTTCCCTCTCTTTGGGCTATATCCCCACCCATTGTTTACTTCTTACCCTCTCCCTCCACCTATCTTCTGCATACAAGCTGACATTTTCCTAGCTCCCATCAGTTCTGAGGAAGGGTCACCACACCCAAAACATTAACTCTGGTTTTGCTTCACAGATGCTGCCAGACCTGCTGGGCTTTTCCAGCAACTTCTGTTTTTGTTTGAGTGGCTGGCAAACCTATTTCAGAGGGCAGTTAACAGTGAACCACATGGTTGTGGAGTCACACGTAGGACAGACCAGAAAAGGGCAACAGAAGAACATTAGTGAATCTACAACCATCCATTATAGTTGTTATGGCCACTATCATACATATGTAATCATACAGCACGGAAACAACCAGTCTTTGCCGACCATAATCCCAAACTAAAGTAGCCCCACCTACCTGCACATGGCCCATATCCCTCCAAACGTTTCTCATTCATGTACTTATCTGGATATCTTTAAACATTGTAACTGTACCCGACTTCCTCTGGAAGTTCATTCCACCCACGAACCACTCTGTGTTTTTAAAAAACAAAAGAAAAGTTGCCCCTTTTGTCTTTTTTAAATCTTTCTCCTTTCACCTTAAAAATATTTCCCCTAAGTCTTTATATCCCCCAACATAGGGAAAAGATACCTGCCATTCACCTTATCTATGCCCTTCATGATCTTACAAACTTCTATAAGGTCACCCCTCAACTTAACGCTCCAGAGAAAACAGTCCCAACCTGTCTGAGCTGACAGAAGGTCGATGCAAGTACAGTTACAACATGGCGTTTGGACAGGTACATAAATAGGAAATAAATAAATAGGGCCAAACACAGGCAAATGGGATTAGTTTAGTTTGGAAAACTTGACATGGATGAGTTGGACCAAAGGGTCTGGTTCTGTGCTATATGACTCTACTCAGCCTCTCCTTATAACTCAAACCCTTTATTCCCAGCAACACCCTGGCAAATCTCTTCTGAACCCTCTCCAGCTTAATAATATCCTTTTGTACAGGTGCTCCGGTTTCCTCCCACAGTCCAAAGATGTGCAGTTTAGGTGGATTGGCCATGCTAAATTGCCCATAGGGATGTGTAGATTAGGTGAGTTATAGGAGGATGGGTCTGGTTGGGATGCTCTGATGTTCGGTGTGGACTTATTGGGCCGAAGGGCCTGTTTCCATGCTTTAGGGATTCTATGATAACAGGGAGACCAGAACTGGACACAGTTTTATATTCCACCTTTTCATTAATTGAACTTAAATTTTGCCAGCTGCTGTGGCAGGATTTGAACCCAGGCCCTCAAAGCCTAAGCATCTGGGTGACAAAGTCCAGTAACATTACCACTACCCCACCACCTCCCTGATAGTGCAGATAGTGATAAATGGGTACATACCTTGACTGTAACTGGATAATCTGCACCAATACGAGAATGCTTTCACTGTTCCTCATCACAAGTGAAGTCCACTTACACAGTCAATCTATCGTGAAACTGTTTCCCTAAAGTGGTTCTCACTGTATTCCAACAGGTGAACAGTCGCGAGGTCGTGGCCATTAAGTGTGTGAGTAAGAAAAGTTTGAACAAAGCCTCGGTGGAGAATCTGCTGACTGAGATCGAGATCTTGAAGACAGTCAGGCATCCTCATATTGTGCAGCTGAAGGATTTTCAAGTGTGTTTGAGTGGAGACTGAAAATGAATATTGTTATAAAACTAAAAGGGCTGGATAAGTAACTTCACTCATCATTACTGGCCTTCCTTCACCTTTCCCCCCAGGCTTCTCTCTTGAGTAGCATTAACATTGCAGAGGCTGTTTGACTTGCTGAAGGTTTACAGCTTGTTTCTATCTGATTTCCAGTGGCATTTGGTTTCTCATGTATGTGTGAGAAAGGCTGTAACAATGTACCTTCATCTGTCTGACTTGGCTCTTTTGTCTGTTTGTGTCAGTGTGTTGGTGTGTTTTGGTTGTGAATATGTCTCTCTCTCTCTCTCTCTCTCTCTCTCTCTCTCTCTCTCTCTCTCTCTCTCTCTCTCTCTCTCTCTCTCTCTCTCTCTCTCTGACTGACTGTCTCTCTGTCAAACACACGCACAGCTTTACTGGACTCTTGAGAATATAAGTAGTAGAATAGATAAAAGGTTAGAACATAGCACTGTACAGCTTAGTAACAGGCGCTTTGGCCCACAATTTTGTGCTGAACATGATGTCAAATTAAACTAATCCCTTCTGCCTGCCCTTGGTCCATATCCCTCCATTCCTTGCATACTCATGCTTACCTAAAAGTCCCCTAAATGCCCCATTCGTATCTGCCTCCACCACCAACCCTGGCAGCATGTTCAAGACTCCTACCATTCTGTGGGGGGAAAAAGACTTACCCCTCACATCTCCTTTGAACTTTTACCCCTCTTACCTTAAATGCATGCCTCCTAGTATTAGATATTTCAACTCTGGGAAAAAGATTCTGACTGTTAATTCTATCTATAGAATCCCCACACTGTGGGTACAAGCCATTCGGCCCAGCAAGTCCACACAGACTTTCTGAAGGCCATCCTCTAACCCTGTATTTTCCACAGCTAACGCACCTAACCTACACATCCCTGAACACTATGGACAATTCAGCATGGCTATCCTCCAATCCACCTAACCAGCACATCTTTGGACTGTAGAAGGAAACCGGAGCACCTGGAAGAAACCCATGCAGACACAGAAAAAATGTATAAACTCCACACAGATATTCCAGTCTCAGATGACTTGAACCCGGGTCCCTGGCACTGTGAGGTAGCAGTGCTTACCACTGAGGTGCCCCACTACTTTTTTAAAAAAAATTATAGAATCACTACAGTGTGGAAACAGCCCATCTGGCCCAACAAGTCCACACTAATCCTCTGAAGAGCATCCCAACCAGAACCATCTCCCTACACTTTCCCTGTAACCTTGCATTTCCCATGGCTAATGCACCTGACCTACACATCCCTGGACACTATCGGACAATTTAGTGTAGCCAATTCACCTAACCTGCACATCTTTGGACTGTGGAACCCTGTGGAAACCCACACAGACACAGGGAGAATGTGCAAACTCTACGCAGACAGTAGCCTGAGGATGGAATCAAACTTGGGGGTCTCTGGCGCTGTGAGGTAGCAGTGCTGGTCCCTGAGCCACCATGCTGCCCCTATCTATGCATCTCATAACTTTACAGACTTCTATCAAGTCTCCCCTCAGTGTCCAGCACTCCAGAGTAAACAACCAAAATTTTTTCAGATAAAAACTGAAAGAACTGCGGATGCTGTAAATCAGGAACAAAATAGAAGTTGGTGGAAATGCTCAGCAAGTCTGACAAATTCTGTGAAGAAAAAAATCAAAGTTAACATTTCAGGACCGGTGATCCTTCCTCAGAACTGAGAAAGTTAACTCTGATTTTTTTTCTTCACAGCTGCTACCAGACCTGCTGAGCTTTTCCAGCAACTTCTGTTTTTGTTCTGAATTTTTCTAGCCTGTCCTTTATAGCTCATCCCCTCGAATTCAGGCAGCATCCTGGTAAACCTCTTCTGCACTCTCTCCAAAGCCTCCACATCCTTCCTATATGTAGTGTTTTTGGATTTTCAGGAAGCTTTTGCTGAAGTCCTACTTTAGAGGTTAATGTGTTAAGATTAAAGCACATTGAATGTGGGTAATGTACCAGCAGGGACTGGAAATTTGTTCACATGCAGGGAAACCAAGAGTGGGAATAAATTATTTTTATTTTGGAATGGAAGGCAATCATTTTGTGGATTAGCAAGGGATCAGTGCTCGGGTCCAGCTTTTAACAAAATATCTATCAACTATTTGCATGAGGGCATTAAATTTTATACTTCCAAGTTTGCTGCTGATATAAAACTAGGAGGAATTTGAGAGGGATGAGGAGTAAGTAAAGGGCCTTCAGGGTGATTTAGACAAGTTGGGTGAGTGGGCAGGTGCAGTATGTTGCGGCTTAGTGTGAAGTAATCCACTTCAGTAGGCAAAAGAGAATGACAGTTTTGTTTAAACAATGATAGATTGAGAAATGTTGATGTACAAAGAGGGCCAGGTTTCCCTGTACACTAGTCAGTGAAAGCAGGCATGCAGGTGAGCAAGCAGTCAGGAACATAAAAAGTATGTTGGTGACATGGTGGCTCAGTGGTTAGCACTGCTGCCTCACAGTTTCAGGGACACTGGTTCAATCCAACCCTTGGGTGACTGTGTGGAGTTTGCACATTCTCCCGCAACTCTGGGTGGGTTTCCCCTGGTGTTCCAGTTTCTTCCCATTAGTCCAAAGATGTGCAGGATAGGGTGGATTAGCCATGCTCAATTGCCCATTGTTATTTACTGAATAAAATTAAAAAAGAAATTGATTTTGAAATACAAAAGGTGTCAAGGGATATGAGGAGGGAGCAGGGGGATTGCGTTGAGCTAGGGAATCAGCTGTGATCATATTGTATGGTGGAGAAGGCTCAGTGGACCAAAGAGTCTACTGTTGCTTCTGTTTTCTGTGTTTTTGTGTATCTTGTCTGCAATGTCATCGGTGTGTTTATGCATTACTGCTCCTGAATGTTTTGGCTCTGTTTGTGTGTGTGTGTGTCTTTCCTACCCTCTGCCAGTCTGACTTGTGTTGATGTTCCTTGTTGAAATGGGGTGAGGGAACTGGAGTGTGGCAGATTCTATCCCTGTCCCCAACCTCTTTTGTACATTCAGTGAAGATTGAATGGAGAGTTCTTGAAGCGAGGGCTGTGGCCGTGACTGATGGAACACCAGAAGCCAGTCTTAAAGCCCCGACCTATTCCTTGGCCAACTCGGGGGATCAAGCCAACCCAAGACTTGAGTCACCAACTTGAGTTGGGGGTATTCCCGGAAGTTTTATTATGTGACTTTCTTCATTGCCCTGCCCCCTCAGGTCCTCCATTTGTCCACCTGTCTTGGCCAGTTGGAAAAGGAACATATTCTTTGGTACCTTTCGATGAAGGAGGATTTCTCCCAATCTCCAATATTTTTACAATTAATAAACAAAATACTTCAATATTCCAGCTATAAAGATGTAGGTAATGGGTGGTAACCTCTGATCATCATCCGCTGAAGTAACCCCCTCACTGAGAATAATGGAGTCAGAACGATCCCCTTCATGGGCAGCACAGTGGCTCAGTGGTTAACACTACTGCCTCACAGCGCCAGGGACCTGGAATCGAATTGACCCTTGGGCGACTGTGTGGAGTTTACACATTCTCCCTGTGTCTGTGTGGGTTTCCTCCGGGTGCTCTAGCTTCCTCCCACAGTCCAAAGATGGCCAGGTTGGGTGGATTGGCCATGCTAAATTGTCCCATAGTGTGCAGGGATGTGCATGCTGGATGGATTAGCCATGGAAAAATGCAGGGTTATGGAGGTAGGGTGGGGGAGTGGGTCTAGATGGGACGCTGTACGGAGAGTTGATACAGACCTGATGGGCTGAACGGCCTCTTTCTACACTGTGGAGATTTTATGTCAGTGGGTATAGTCTGTCTTCAGTGGATCAGTGGCGTTTGTTTGGGAATATTCTTGGTAGCAGGATAGGGTTCCTGCTTGTAGAGACATGGGGAAAAGCTGGAGAGGGAAGTGGGGTGTGGGTTGTGGGTTGTGGGCTCCTGCTTGTTGCAGTTTCTAACCTGCGTTTTGACCCTGACTCAACAGTGGGACAGCGAGAACATTTACCTGATCATGGAATTCTGTGCTGGCGGCGATCTCTCCCACTTTATCCGCACTCGTAGGGCGCTTCCCGAGGGAGTGGCCAGGCGCTTTCTGCAGCAGCTGGGTAAGAGACCACTGGTGCTGCGTTGGCGTATCAGCTTTCCCATCCACTGGATGTTCCAAAGTGCTTCCGGGGCCAAGATAGCATCATCCACACCCAACTCCCTCCCCCTGGCTCAGTGGGTAACATTCTCATTGGATTCAGCAAGTTGAGAGTTCAACTCCCACCCCAGAGATGTAAGCACAGAACCAAATTGGCACACTGTAATGCCAACACCGAAAGGGGGATGTGGGCTGCACTGTTGAGGGTGCCATCCTTCGAAACCATCTTTCGAACAAGCTAAGATAAAAGATCCCACCAAACTGTGAGAAGAGCTGTCCTGGCCAATATTCTTTGGTACCTGTCAATGAAAGAGGTTTTTCTCCCTCCCCACGCACCTCAATCTCCAACCCAGGGTGCCAGGGTGGGTCAGTGGTTAGCACTGCTGCCTCACAGCGCCAGGGTCTTGGGTTCGATTCCACCCTTGAGCGACTGTCTATGTGGAGTTTGCACATTCTCCCATTGTCTGCTTGGTTTGCTCTAGCTGCTCCAGTTTCCTCCCCATTCCAAAGATGTGTAGGTTGGGTGAATTGGCCGTGCTAAATTGCCCCACAGTATCCAGAGATATGCGGGTTAGCCAGGGGAAATACAGCGCTACAAGGTTGGGTAAGGGCATATGTCTGCGTGGGACGTTCGTCGGAGATTAGTGTGGACTTGATGGTCCAAATAGCCTGCTTCCACACTGTAGGGATTCTATGATTCATCCCTCAATCAACAAGCAGAGGGTCAAGTAGTCCCTATATTGCTGTATGGTGGATCTTGCTGTGTGTGTGTTGGTGTTTTCTACATTACAACAGTGACTTCACAGACTGAGGGTTCCCATGAAGGTCTCACCTCTTCATTCGCCTGAGGTGTGATGACCCTCAGGTTGAGCCACCACCAGTTGCCTGTTTTGGCTGAGAGAGCAGCCCTTTGGTCCGTTGGGACAGCGGTGACTTTGCCATTACCTTTATGCACTTCAAAATCACCTCATTGGCTGTAAAGCACTTTGGGATGTGAAAGTCGCTGTATAAATGCAATTATTTCTTTTCAGTATGGCCAACCCATTCTGTTTGTGCACAGAAGGGTCTACAGGTAAATTATGTTAATGGAGGGATAAACATTGACCTCATTGCTGTTTGGAATAATGCGATCTCGTATACCTGCCTGAGCATTTAATGCTGTATTGCCTCTGACAGTACAGCACTGCGCATTACACCAGTGTTTCTGTTCTTATTTCAGATTGCTGGCAGTTTAGTGTCTGCACCCAGGACAAAACTCATCTAAGATCTTTGTATCAACCTGTGAACTTCACAAAGGTGTTATTGTAGGTGCTAGAAGTTCATAAGACTTTTACCAATTCTAAGAATCAGCAGCTTTCCTCTTTCTCCCTCTCCTCCCCTTTCAGCGTCAGCTCTCCAGTACCTCCACGAGCGAAACATCTCTCACCTTGATCTGAAGCCACAGAATGTTCTGGTCAGTTCCCGGAGCACACCTCACCTCAAACTTGCTGGTAAGTTAACTCAGATTCTCTCCTCTACCCTACACCCCACAAACCCCTGTGTTTCCAAAATTGCAATGAAGGTCGAAGTTGAAAGAAAGGAAAGACATGCATTTATGTAGCACCTTCTGCCAGCTAACAATGCCTAAGCCCTGAGGACATGGGTTCAAATCTGACCACACACTGTAGAATTTTAATTCAACGAATAACTCTGGAATTGAATTCCACATTGTTGTAAAAATCCATCTGATTCCCATATGTCCTTTAGGCAAGGAAATCTGCTGCCCTTACCCAGTCTGGCCTATATGTGACTCCAGACCTGGTGGTTGATTCTTGCCTGCCCTCTGAAATGGCAGTTGAAGGGACAGGCTCCAAATGCTGGCCCTGCCAGTGATGGCCACATCCTGTCACATCGTAAAAGAACTGGGCAAGACCACCAGGGAAAACTGACCTCCGAGAGTGACCGTGGGATGGTTTACGTTCTCCTGACAGAGCAGATGCAATCTGGGCTTAACATCATCTGAAAGGACATCTGTAAACAGTAAACTTTGTGTTAATTGGCAATAGATTGGAATTGAAATGCTCTCGGAACCAGATTCAATTGCCCTCCAACCCTCCCTCTCCCTCTGTCCCCTCTCCGTCTGCCCCGCTCTCTGCTTCTGACCCCCTTCTGCAACCTCTCCTTCCGCCAACCCCTCCTCACAATACCCCGCTCTCCCTCCTGCCCCCTCTCTCCCTCCTTCTGCACCCCTCTCTGCCTCTTTTTTGCCACTTCGACAGGCCATTTGTCACACTATCTCCTTAGGTGGCCTGCTGTGTGATAACCCTCCAGGGAAGTGCCTTTTGTAGAGACTTACAACATTGAAGGCAACATACGAATGCAGTCCCTTGTTCTTATGCCGCATTTGTGTTTTTAAAAAAAAACTGAAAACCCTTCTGTCCTTTCGGAAGGTCCTGGTGATGATCTGGTGTCTTGTCTTTCCTGCAGATTTTGGCTTTGCGCAGCACATGTCTCCCTGGGACGAGAAGCACGTTCTGCGTGGGTCCCCGCTCTACATGGCACCAGAGATGGTGTGTCGCCAACAGTATGATGCCCGCGTGGATCTGTGGTCAGTGGGCGTCATCCTGTACGGTGAGTCCAAAATGTTGGCCGACACATCCTGGGACTGGGAAAGGGGGATTTCCACTGAGGTTCTCATCGCCCAGGGGATTGTCCATTTGAAAGCCTCTGAGTGCAAAGGGGATAGAGATTCCCGGTTTCAGTTATAATCTAGACTCATTACAAAAAGGGATGATTGAACTAGAGAGGGAGCAGAAGAGGTCGGCAGAATTGGAAATCCACAGCTATTGAGGAAAGATTCGCCCGATGGGGAGGCTGATGGGAGATTCGATTGCAATATACAAAATTGACAGGGGTCTGGGATAATAGTTGTCTTAGTTCTAACCAGATATTAGGGCTTCTCTCGCACTCTCGCGCTCTCTCCCCCATTAGAGATGACTGGTGGTGGTTTAACCTGAGGGTCACCACACCTCAAGGATGGGACAGGTTGAGAAGGCAGGTCCTTCATGGTAACCTCAGCTGTGTGGGAGTAGGTGTCGGCCTGTTCAACAGTGACTAGGTCGCCTGGATTTAAAAATAGTGGGTAGAAAGATTAAAGGGAAGATATAGCGAAGATGGTGGCGTAGTGTCAATGTCACTGAGCTAGTAATCCACATCTCCAGGCTAATACTCCGGGTTCAAATCCCATCAAGGCATGAAACATGAATTCAATTTGAAACATCTGGAATAAAGAGCTGGTCTAATACAGACCATATAATTGTTGTAAAACCCCCTCTGGTTCATTCAAGTCCTTCTAATTTTATTTCTGCAGGGGATGTGGGTATCGCTGGCAAGGCCATCCCTGATTGCCCTTAGAGAGTCCCACTGCGTCATTTGCAAATTGCCCTCATTGCTGTCGGTCTGGATTCACATGTAGGCCAGACCAGGTAAAGGTGGCATGTTACCTTCCCTAGAGGAGCATTAGTGAACCAAGCTTTTATGGCAGTCGATGAATTGATGAGACTAGCTTTCAATTCCAGATTTCACTCATTACACTTGAAATCCACCAGTTGCTGTGGTGGGATTTGAACCCAGTTGTCCCAACTGTTGTCCTGGGTCTCTGGGTTGCTAGATCACCATCTGTTCTATGTTGAAAGCTGAATGGCCTTTTGTTCACATAGGCTCTGTAAAACAAAGGGAAAGTAAAGGGATTGCACAGTTTTGCGGTCCTGGGGCCGAGGGGGCAAAGGGAGGAGTTAAGAGTATGGAACACCACAATGGTTTCTGGTTTCCTTCTGGATGGGAGGATTCTTTGTTGTTGCACTGATCGTAATAGGAAACAAATTAAATACCCAGGAGTAAGTGTCAAAAGTTACACCAAGTGATGCTGGTGGTATTGTGGATCAGTGGATAGCACTGCTGCCTCACAGCGCCAGGGATCCAGGTTCGACTCCACCCTTGGGTGCCTGTCTGTGCGGAGTTTGTACATTCTCCCCATGTCTGTGTGGGTTTCCTTCCTCCCACAGTCCAAAGATGTTCAGATTAGGTGGATTGGCCATGGGAAACGTGGGGGTACGGGGATAGGGTGGGAGCGGGGTGTGGGTTGGTGTGGATTAGATGGGCCGAATGGCATTCTTCCACAGTGTAGGGATTCAATGAAACCTGCCACCTTTACCTGGCGTAACCTACCCAGGTACCTGTTCTAATAACACCCTGGGGTAGTCCATTACCAAAGGGTGAGGGGGTAGGGTGTAGTTAAAAGGGACCTCACTGACCCCACTCTTCTCTGTCCCCCCTCCCGCCTACAGAAGCTCTCTTTGGACGGCCGCCCTTTGCATCAAAATCGTTCTTGGAGCTGGAAGAGAAAATCCGCAGCAACAAGGCCGTCGAGGTGGGTGACTGCGGGCGGCACCAGGGGTCAGGGTAACGTGTGTTTTTACGGGTCGGGAAAGTGGCATCAACAGGGGGAGGCAACGGTATTATCGCTGGATTGTTAATCCAGAGACCCAGATAACGTTCTGGGGTCCCGGGTTCAAATCCCACCATGGCAGATGGTGGAATTTGAATTCAATAAAATATCTGGAATTAAAAGTCTAATGATGGCCGTGAATCCATTATTGATTGCCGGTAAAAACCCATCTGGTTCACTAATGTCCTTTAGGGAAGGAAACTGCCATCCTTACCTGGTCTGGCCTACATGTGACTCCAGACCCACAGCAATGTGGTTGACTCTGAACTGCCCTTTGGGCAATTAGGGATGGGCAATAAATGCTGCCTAACCAGCGACACCCTCATCCTGTGAATGAATAAAGGAAAAAGAAAGCTTGCTTTTATGTAGCGCAGTGAAACATCCCCTGGGGGTGAAGGCGTGACACGCAAGGTATTAGGAGGGGGTTGGGTGAGAGGGGTGGGGTGCAAGGAGGTAAGTTTGAAGGAGTAAAGGAAAAATACTGCGACTGCTGGAAATCTGAAACACTTGCAGAAAGTGCTGGAGAAACTCAGCGGGTCTGGCAGCATCTGTGGAGGGAGAAACAGAGTTCGCGTTTCGAGACCAATGCGAGTTCTTCAGAAACGTTTGTACGAGAATCTTCAATTCTGAACTGTTACAGCCGGACCTGCCAAGTTTGAAGAAAGTGGAGGATGAGGGTGTAGTGTTGAGGGTGGGGGCAGGAGTCTTCCAAGTGGCTGAAGGTAGGGTGGGGTGGTGTTCGTCACGATGGAAATCGGTGGGCTAAGAGGGTGGGGCAGTGACGGGAGATCTGGGAGGGCTGTGGAGTTGGAGGTTACTGAATGGGGGTAAGGAGTGAATTGGACATGAAGGAGAGAATCGAACCACGATGTTGCAACTTCCTGGTGGGTTTCTTTTTGGGAGGAGTGAGTGGGCCGGAAGGAAAATTGAAGCTGCGATATCCAATTCCGGTGATGAACAGGGATTTTGGAACTGCTTCCCTATGCAACCTGAGGTGGGATATGGAGTTTCAAATCGACTTGTTTAGTCTGCTTTGTTTGTATCTCCTGGTCATGTCGATGTATCCTGGGCATATTAATTTATTCATGGGCTATGGGCATCACTGTCTGGACCAGTGGTTGTTGCCTGTCTCTAATCTCTCTGGAGATGGTGAGCCATTGCCCTAAACTGCTGTAGGCACATCCACACAGTGTTGTTTGAGGGGTGGGTCCAGGATTTTGACCCAGTGATCCATCAATGGATGGATAAGTACATGAATAAGAAATGTTTGGAGGGATATGGACCAGGTGCAGGCAGTTGGGACTAGTTTAGTTTGGGATTAAGGTCGGCATGGACTGGTTGGACCGAAGGGTCTGTTTCCGCGCTGTAGGACTCTATAACTCTACAAGTTGGGATGGTGACTGGCTTGGAGGGGAGCACGCGCAAGGTGGTGTTGTCAAGCATCTGTTGACCTTGACCTCCTAGAGGTCATGAGTTTGGAGGAGTATGTAGGTGTGGGTCGTCCTTCTGTACATTTAACAACTGTGGGCAGTTACCTGAGGAACCGTGGTGGTCCAGTCTGGCCCTTAACGTCCACATTCTAAGCCTTTTCCGGTGGCAGACGCTGGGTAACCATCAGGAGGGGAGACCCTAGCTAAGGACCCCCTTCTAGCTCTTCATAGCCTGGGGAATGAGGAACTGTGACACCATTCAAGTTGCCAACTGGTGCCTGTAGTGATTGTAATGAGGTCAGCCAGCTGGACCTTGTAGAACATGAGTTCCCTCATTGGGGCTGTTAATCTGGTCCAATCAAGGAGCCTGGGCCGACATAAAAGGGTGAATGTCAGGAGAATTGACACTGTAGTGACTGACTCAGAAAGAGGCAGTGCTATAGTCAAAGCCTATGCATTTGTAAACAAAGGGTGATTGGTGATGGGATACTGCCCTCTGTAGAGTACATTTCATCGCCCAATCAACTCATGTCCAGCCAGAAGTCCATGCTGGAGGTTTCCTGGAAGGAAGAAAAGCTTGCATTCAAGTAGCACCTTTTGCACAGTCTCGGGGTGGCCCAAATCAAGTTGCTACCGATATATTACTTTCAGCATGTAATCAATGTTAGACAGGAGGATACACTGCAGCCAGCTTCTACACAACAAGCTCCCAACGACAGACCACCTTGTGCAAGGTGTTTATATTCTTTATACAAGCTTCCTCCCACATTACCAGCAGGACCACCCATTCCTTTCTGCCTCCTGTTTATCCAGCTTCCTCTTAACTTCTTGCAATGTTTGTTTAGAGATAAGAATATTGTCCCTGGACCCCAGGAAGCTCGTGCTCAAGTGAACACACATGGGGATTTTCTGAAGAAGGGTCTAGGCCAGAAACGTCAGCCTTTCTGCTCCTCTGATGCTGCTTGGCCTGCTGTGTTCATCCAGCTCTACACCTTGTTATCTCAGATTCTCCAGCATCTGCAGTTCCTACTATCTCTGGGGATTTTCTTTTCTGTGTGCACCCAGGCAGGACCTCCCTTAGTGTTTCATCTAAAAGACCATGTTTCCGACAGTGCAGCACCCGCCTTGGGAGTGTTGGCCCGGTTCTGTGGGAGGGTCACTGAGTTTCTTTCAGCAATCTCTGTTTTTGTTTCAGATTTCCAGCATCCACGCTTGTTTCATTTGGTGCTCAGCTTCCCTGCTGTGGGTCTTGAACTCATGACCTACCAAACCAGGGCCTAGTGTGCTGACTACAGAGTCACTGCTGACTGCACAAATGATTGTTAACCAGGGAACATACATCCCGCCTTTTCCTTGTGTTTATAGCACTTTGGCTAATTCCTGCACAAGGTTACTTTGCGAGGGTAACACTTGCCTGGCTCACACCATTATGAGTGTTAATCTAATGCTTAATTCCTCTGGGTGTCTCATACAGCTACATCTGCTTATCGCAGTTCCTCGGTGCGAGGCCGTAATTAGCGTTAATAATTCCCCAGCCATCTCCTGACTGCACTGTGTTTAACAGGCAAAACAGAATGAATGATCAGAAAGAGCTAAATGTAGGCCTGTGGCCTGAATTGAATTAGCTTTATTGTCACATGTACTCACAGGAGTACAGTGAAAAGGTTACAAGTCGCCAGTTAGGTATCTTAGGTACAAGGGTACCTGCATACAGATTCTTAGGAAAAAGAAGCAGAAAAATAAGGAAATTAAAATAAGCAGCATTACAGACCATCAAAAGTACAAAATCATAATAATAAATTAGGGGCAGCACAATGGCTCAGTGGTTAGCACTGCTGCCTCATGGCACCAGGGATCTGAGTTCAATCCCACCCTCGGGTGACTGTCTGTGTGGTGTTCAAATGTTCTCCCGGTATCCGTGTGGGTTTCCTCTGGGTGCTCTGGTTTCTTGCCACAGTCCGAAGGTTGTGTGGATTGGCCATGCTAAATTGTCCCATAGTGTCCAGGGATGTGCAGGCTGGGTGGATTAACCGTGAGAAATGCAGGGGGGTGGGGTGGGGTGGGGTGGGATGGTCTTCAGAGAGGTGGCATAGATTCAATGGGCCGAATGGCCTGCTTCCACACTGTGTAAGAATTCTATGAAAAATAAGGAATTAAAATGTTCAGCATAACAATCATTCCACAATAGTTATTTAAAAAAAGAATTTTTTTAAAAATGCGGATTTAAGACAAAGTTCACTTAGTGCATTTCCCAGCTCTGGGCTCGACAACGACGACCAACCCCCACCCCACCACTCCCAAATCCCGTTGGAATCCTGGGCTGGACCCACTGTGATGCTGAAGAAAACTCCTCATGGAGTCATGGACTGATTAAAGCTGTCAGAAGGACACTCGGGCCGATGCTGCTGAAAACAGCCACCAAAGCCAGGGAAAGGAGTCCCCAGGCCAGACCGGACCAACCGCAGAGACGCCTCAGAAACCACCAGGAAACTCGGGCCTTTGGAATCCCGGGCTCAGACCCACCTCGTCTTCAAAGCCATCGCCGAAGCAGCCGCGAGGAATGGCCAGATCCAAATCTGGAGTCGTCTTCTCACACCAATCAGTGAGATGTGAGCCAGTGGGCACAGAGCCTGGGGTATAGCGAGATGTGAGCCAGTGGGCACAGAGCCTGGGGTATAGAGAGATGTGAGCCAGTGGGCATGGAGCCTGGGGTATAGTGAGATGCGAGCCAGTGGGCACGGAGCCTGGGGTATAGTGAGATGTGAGCCAGTGGCACAGAGCCTGGGGTATAGCGAGATGTGAGCCAGTGGGCATAGAGCCTGGGGTATAGCGAGGTGTGAGCCAGTGGGCACAGAGCCTGGGGTATGGCGAGATGTGAGCCAGTGGGCACAGAGCCTGGGGTATGGTGAGATGTGA